ACTTTTCTCAGTAGTAACCTATTTTCCTCCTTCCAAAAACTACTGCCACTTTTGAATAATCTCCTGTTGATGATACAGTGGATAGAGAGGTGATTGAGCAAGACTGTTCTGGAACTCCTAGCCCTCTGCATTTCTGCTTTATTGGCAAAAATTGATGAAGGACTGGGAAAACACAGAATTTAGGCTGACTTTTGGTACAAAGTCATGAAGGGGACCCAGGCAGATCACTCACTACAGACTCATACACTTCCTGCATAAAGAAAAATGTATTTTTATATTAGCACATTTTTAGATTTGCTTGCTTTAATGACCACATTTTTCTTTGATGTTCAGAAACTTTGATGGAACTGTATTATTGGCCATAGAAGAAGGCAAGCAACAAACAGACCCACCAGAAAAGTTGTTCTGATGTTCTTGGTAGGTGACATGGTGCCATTGGAGAAGATCAGGCAGGGGAAAGACTTGAATTTTTGAAGGAGCCATTTGGTGCCATGGTGACAATGGGTTGAAGATGGGAGAGAGAATAGCTAGCAGACTTAGTCTCTTTTTTTTTGTTGTTGTTGTTATAACAGAATACTTGAGACTGGGTAATTTATAAAGGAAAGAAACTTACTTAGCTTGTGGTTCTGGAGGCTGGGAAACCCAAGACTGGGTGGCTGTGTCTGGTGAGGGTCTCATGTTGCATCATGACATGGGGAAAAGAAGAGCAAGTGAGTGCATGCGAGCGAGACAAAACATGAGCAAAACCCTCACCTGATAGCAACCTGCTCCGTGGGAGAGTCCTGAAAGAGTCGAAACTCACTTCTGTGGGAATTAATCCAGTCCAGAGCGTAGTGTTATTCTTTTCATGAGGGCTTCTCTTGACCCACACACTTCTTAAAGTTCCCACTGCTCTCATCACTGTTACATTGGGGATCATATTTCAACCTGAGTTTTGGAGGGTACAAAACGGAGGGTACAAAACACATCCAAACTGTCTCACTATAAGTGGTAAGTGTCAAAGAGGGATTTGGTCTTGAGTTGCAAGACTTTAGAACACTTTATATCTCAACTCAAATCAAATTTCCTTTTCTATCAATTATTCAAAGGTATTGTGAAGTACAAATGAGATAAAGGTAGCAAGGTATGTACAAAAGGAGTATAAATTTTTAGGAGCAACTCATTAAAAATGATGTTCCTTTGCCATGGATAAGCCAGAACAGCCCACTTCTTCACATGAAGCAGCTTGGAGTAGGAGTGAGAGGAATGAACGAGGATGGGTAAGGCTGTGTCCAGGGTTATGTCAGGCCAGAGGTGTCAATCTTTAGAGGAATCCAAATCCAGATGCTTTTTGATTAAAGTTAAAATAAGCATCGTACACTTAAACTGATGTAACAGGTATTTCTGGAAGGTTAATTTTGCTTTCACACATGTACTAAAACCAAAAATAGGAAAACATGGTCAAAAATGAGAAAGAAGTAGCTCCACTCTTCCAGTGACCTAGACCCGGCTTTACTCATCAGGGCACTTATGTCCTAACACTGTGTCCAGCATATCTAAGTGCTCATTAAAAACAAGCACTAATAAGCACTGAGGGTCCCAAAACCATATCAAGGATTTCTTTTCCATATGTCAGTGTATGATTTATTTTTCTTTCTAATATACAATTGGAATTATTCAAGTTAAATCAAACTAATCAAACATTTTCCTTTATAAAATGTCTTTGAAACACAAGCAACTTCTAACCCATACTCTGATAGGTTGTGCCTGCTAATGTCTTTCTTTCATCTTTCTTTCCCTTGGTCATTTGCATACATAGGCTGAACTCTAAGCTTGGGATCTTTTTGCCCTCTTTTCTCTTTTTGTCTCAGCTGAGATTGGGAAGTAGAATGCTGAATAAATAGAAATTCACTCTGGACCTCGAAGCTCTTTATGAAGGTAATTCTGACCTCCAGCCACTTGCACAATATTGGTAATTTGACCTGGACTTGATTTTTACATGAGCTGTCATTTTATACACCTAGAGAAAGCAAGGCAGGACATAAATGAAGAAGATACATTTCTAGTGGTACATGGAAACAGAATCAGTTACCAAAAACTATCCTTGCCCAAGTGATAACAGCCCGTATATTTTCTCTAATTTTTTTTTTTTACAGGTGTATATCTTTAGCTTCCATGGATCCTAGCATAGAATTTATAATGACTTTTGGGTTTGAAAGTAAAATGTTTTTGAATGGGCTAGTATCTTAGTATGCAAGCATTATCAGGTACTCATATACTTGTAAACCCCATAATCACTCAGTTATAACTACCGTCATTTGAAGTATTTTTCTTTTATCTGTGCATTTATAGAGCAATTGTGTGTGTGATTTATATATGTGCATATATATTACATAACACATAATTATGAATTTGACTTTTCTCCCTCAACATTGGTGTACAAATGTTTTCTCCATGTTATTGAGTATTCTTTGAGTATACTAGAAGCAGTTAAGGCCTTAATTGGTCAATTTAAGATTGTTTGATACTTGGCATTGCTGTACATTTGGTGCTTCCAAAACAACACCGCATAAAGCATCCTTTTCTCTTCATTTCTTCAAAACAAAGGCATCTCTGCTTTAGTGACAGGGCAAGAGCTGTTTGAAGGCCATTAAAATCTATATATTGTATACTAAGAAAAATGTAGTGAGGTGTCTGGCATGGCCTCTTCTGTTTCTTATATACTGCACACATTTTCTAAAGTCATGGAGGTAGTTAAATCTCACTAGAAGGAGTAATTCCTACAAATCTGGAGTGTGTAGCTCAAGCTGGCATTGAATGTAAATGTAGTATTTTTCAGAGCTCAAATCATCCTGGATCCCCTTGTCTGTATCCTTGCTATCCATGGCACCAGACCCAGAATGGTAATCACTGGGAATGTGGAGGCGGTGGGATTTAAGAGGGCCAAGTGGTGTGTTTATCAGGCAACTGACCAGCTGTAGCACAGAGGGTTGGAGTCCACAGGCCAATAGTTATTTGTTAGGGAAAGCTTGAGGTCAAGGACAAAGATAAGAGTATAAAGGGAAGGACTTCTGATTTCCCAGGGTTCCACTGCTTCATTTGCTGCAGCTCTGCCAGTTAGGTAACAGATTGATACAAACGGAGAGGAACCCATGTTGATATATGCCTGTCCAGTCTTTCAGGAGCTGAGGCTGTCCCAGGCTGGTCATTTGAGATTACCGCCAGCATAAAGGAGACACGGGTTTGAAATGGTGGGTGAGAGCAAGGGACTTGCTTTGGGTGGGGCTGTCCAATGAAGCTGAATTGGATGGGGAGAGTAGAGGGACTTTCCTTGGCTCCAGTGGGCAGGTGACTTCCCTAAGGATTCCTCAGTCAGCAAGTTAGAAAGAGGGAGGGAAAGAGAAGTGGATGTTTACTGAGATGTGTGGCCTGGCCTTTCCCCAGTGGGTGGCAGAAGGCTCGACACTCCTCAGCCTGGGCCTTGTGCCTGGCAGTGTTGCTGTTAATGAACCATGTCAGATCTACAGCAATGTGGATCCTGCAGTGGCCATGAACTGGGGCTTGCTGGTCTTGTGTGGGGTCAGTGGATTCCATGTCTCTGCTTACTGTCTAAACAACATTAGCTTCTCCGTGTGCATCTTGAATGCGCTTCAGTTCTTGGCTTTCTGGGTTGGAGCAACCCCACTCCTGATACCAAAGTCGGTATTAGTTTTCTAGGGATGCTGTAATAAAGAACCACAAACTGCATAGCTTAAAGAGCAGAAATTTCTTTTCTCACAGTTGTGGAGGCCAGATGTCCGAGATCAAGGTGTCAGTAGCATTGGTTCCTTGGAGGGCTCCAAGGGACAGTCTGTTCCACGTGTCTCTCCTTGGTTTGTAGATGACTGTCCTCTCCTTAGGTCACCACACATAATCTTCCCTCCAGGCATGTCTGTCTCTGTGTCTGAATCTCCCCCTTCCCTTTTCATAAGATTTTAAATTTGCATTAATATGCAAAAAAAAAAACACATTGAAATAAAAATATCACATAAAACTTGCCATTTTAAGAATTTTAAGGGTACAGCTCCAGAGGCATTGTGTTTCCAACTTCGAGAACCATCATGCTTGTCTGCCTCTAAAACATTTTCATGAAGCAATCCCTACCCATGCCTTTCTCCCCAACCAGCTTCTTACCTCTAACCTTCTCTCTGTCTCCATTAATTTGCATATTACAGATATGTCATATAAATGGAATCATACACAATGTCCTTCTGTGTCCAGTTGTGTCACTGAGCATACGGTCTCCAAGGTTTGTCCAGGCTGTGGCACGTATCAGTATGACATTCACTTTCATAAGGACACCAGTAGTATCGCGTTAGAGTTAACTCTAACGGCTACCTTTTAACTCGGTTACTCTGTAAAGACACTGTCTTCAAATAAGGCTGCATCCTAAGGTACCTGGGGTTCAGATTCTAACCAGTACTTGTTGGGGAACACAACTTTACTCATAACAAACCCCGTCTCCTCATGAGCTTAGAAAGTCCTTCAATCTATCAGCAAGTTGTGGTTTTCAGCAGAATGTATGTCTCAAGTAAAGTTTGAGGGTTTTTTTTTTCCTTTTTAAAAGTAAAATCAGAGACTCCCTTGAAGCATTTCTACTTTTTTTTTTTTAGTACATTTCAAAACTGTATTCCAAGTTTTCAAGGCCCTTGAACTCCTAGAATCAGGCATGCCCCTGGGCTTGGTCTATTGTACAACAGTCTTGGGGACACTGTACATGTGCTTATTTATCCACCAAAATTAAACACCCAAAATTGAAGATGTCAAAGTAGGACAGGTTCCTCAACGACATGTGTTGGCTGGAATTTTCCATTGATCTGGGCTGTGACCAGGGGCATGCCATGATCACAACTTACTGTCTTTCCCTTACCCCTTCCTTCCAATTTCTGAGGGTAGAAAATAATCTTCTCTGAAGATGCTTGATAACAGTTCCAAAAGATAAAAGCATATGCTTTTGTACTGTGCTTTCAGATATTCTAGGTCTAGTTCAGCTGGCAGATGAGCTGATTGATGCGTTCACCCCGATAGCCAGGTGAGCCCATCCCCTTAAGGAAGCCCACTCTATTCTTGGTAGCGTGACAGGCCACAGAGAGGTGGAAAGGACGCAAGGATCCAGAGATCTCCTGGAAATGCTTCCCCAGGAAGGCTATTTCATGAATGAGGTCTTCCAGGCAAATGACACCAAACTTCCCCAGGTGCTCTTCAATCACAGTGCTGTCTGTCAGAGGGACGGTCTTACTCTTAACCTTTGCTTGTCCACGTTTCAAGATCAGTTCTCGGACAGATCAGATTTGGAAATCCCCAGGTCACATAAGGTTCCAATACACAAAGCACTTTCATGTTTCCGGGAGTGACTCTGACAAAGACACCACTAAACAATTTCTTCAGACGAAGTCTTGCAATGGTCCTCTTCGCCAGTAAACTGACGCCTTCAGTCCTTTGGATGCGCACAACAAAGGCCAAGGAACGTTTATCAGGCACTGCCAAAGCACGAGGCTTCACTTCTGACGCCTTATCGCGTTGCTGTCGCCAGGAATCACGTAGGAATGATTCCAGCCGTCTCAACCTGAACTCTTTTCCTTTCCTCTCCTTCTTTTCCAAAAGTGCTTGCTTTGCTTGGGCGGCTTTGAGGGCTTGATAAGCCTTCCTCTTTTTCAGGAGATTTTCTGGAACCAATGGGATCTTTTTTCTTTCCTCTCCCTCTGCCATCTTTCCAGTGCTGTGGTAACTGCGCATCGCATTTCTACTTTTCAAGGAATAATTTGGCATTGTTTCAGCTCCAGTGCTGTTGGATTTGGTTTCTCTCCATGATTATTTGTATCATTGCAAAAGAGAAAAAAAAGTAGTTTTCTTAAGTAATGGATGACACAGGATCTATCTGGGTTCAAACTAGAATTATTTGGCTATCGTTTGTCTTGGGATGTTACTGTGTGGTGTATTGCAGTGACAGTGTCCCATATCCATGTCTGTGTGCTGGGCACCTCTTGTGGACCTTCCAACTCAGCTCCCACAGCTTTTGGCTTTATGGGATCCATTATTGATTCCATTTGTGGGCTCAACCAATACGAAGAATGGCAGAGCAGCTGTATTAGCTCATTGTGTGCTGCTATAACAAAGTAACCGAGAATGGGTAATTTATAAAGAACAGAAATCTGTGTCCTCACAGTTCTGGAGATTGGAAAGCCTAAGATCAAGGCACTTCAAGTTCTGTGATCTTGGGAGGGCTGCATCCGTCCAAGGGGAGGAATGCTCTGTCCTCACAAGGCAGTAGGCAGAGGAAGGAGAGAGCTGTCCTAATGCTGTGTGATGCCTCTTTTTGAAGGACTTCCCAGGCATGGGAGAGAGCCCTCATGGCCTGATGGTGTCTTGGTGTGTGTATGTGTTGCTGGGGATTGAATCCAGGGCTTTGCACATGCAAGGATATGATGGTACCACTGAACTATGTCCTCAGTTCCCTTAATAACTGCTCAAGGGCCCCACCTTTTAATACACCACCACATTGGTCATTTAAGTTCCTGCACCCGAATTTGGGAAGGGACAGAGCTAAGAGGGTAAAACCAGGGTTTAAAATGAAAGATGTCTGACTTCTGCCCTAGCTCTTTACCACCTGTGATGATACTACAAATACCTGAGTCAATAAATAACTTGCTGAGTTTCTACCACGAGGGGGTAGGTGGAGAGTCACGATGACATTTAGAAATGCAAGACTTATTTACACTTAAATGTCAGTCCTAATAATTCACTTGAACAATACTCTGCCACTTTCTGTACAGTCATTAATGGTTATGAGCAAATTAAAAGGTTTGTGAATTTCATCCAATTAAATTTTGAATTGAGTCTCCATACTAGGTTACACAAGTGATTATTTCCTATTGAGTAGTTGAGTATCTTCCCTAAGCTTAAAGATGATTATTTTCTATGATGGATCAAATTCCAGCACCCAGCATGTTAGAGCGCTCCTCCATCGCCGGGTGCATGTGCACAGGTTAATGTGATGTAGATTAGAAGATTAGGGTTCAAGCTGCTTGAAGGTGAAGGAGAAGGTAAAAGGCCCGTGTGATCCATTTACTTGGACAATCCATACATTGCCCAGCAGGGCCACACTGGCTTCTGGGAACCATGGATGAGGCCAACACCTAATCACAGGAGTGTGCAAGGGAAATCCCCTGCCTAAACCGAGTCTGTAACGGAACTGTATATAGGGAGGGTGTGTTGGATGGGAGGACATTCCCACAGGAGAGCAGCATGTCATTTGTTGTCTGAACCAAAGCTTCTTTCAGAATAAAGAGGGTGCCATTAACGGTGATGAGGGTGACAGTAGTAGACTGTTGTCCTGGTCATCCTACCTCCAGCCTGTGGGGCATGGTGTGATCTGGAGGGTGGGCAGAGCAGCGCCCTGGGCCTTGCTGGAGGCGGAGCAGGGGCTGCATGGATGGAGGTCTTGATGGGCCATTGGTCTGTCCTGGAGTGGACATGCTTGCACTGTTATGAATGGAAGCAGAAGACAAATTGAAGGTAAATTCTAAACCATCTAATTAAGTCTGTAATTTATCTGTTTTTTTTCTTTTTTTTAAATTTGGAAGCACATGGTCCTGTCTCTGAGGCCAGTGTTGACCTTACATCTTTGGGCAGCCAACACTTTCTAAATCAGGGCTGAGCAAGTTTGGTTTGATGATAACAGTCACCAGTTGTTTATTTGTCTCATAAAATTATTATTATCAGGGACTGTGTGTGTGTCGGTGTGTAGGTGAAAGGTGTATAACAGAGAGGTGTGCAGGTCTATGTGTGTGCATGTGTGCGTGTGTGTGACTAGGCCTTTGTGCATGTGTATGTGTGTGACTAGGCCTCTGCGTGTGTGTGCTTGTGTGATTAGGCCTCTGTGCGTGTGCAGGTGTGCATGCGTGTGTGCATGTGTGTGCTTGTGTGACTAGGCCTGTGTGTGTGCGCGCCTGTGTGTGCACGTGCGTGTGCATAGGTGTGTGCATGCAGGTGTGTGTGGGTGTGTGGGTGCGCATGTGACTAGGCCTGTGTGTGTAGCACACCATTGTGCAGGCAGGATGCGTGGGCTCAAATAGGTTTGACCCAAGCTCTATCTTAGTGGCTGTTCCGTTGGTCCCCTCTGTGGGCTCAGCCTGGCCTGGCACTGGTGTTCAGAGCTGTTAAGAAGATACCAAGGAAGTGGTGATGGGTGAGCTAATTCAAAAGACTGGGGAGAAAGAGATTCTGCCAAGACAGAGCACCAAGACAAGCCACCCTGGCTCCCTTGGCCAGCATGGGGCAGTGGCTTCTGTAAAGAAGGGTTGGTGGGCCTCTGGGGTTCGAGGAGCATGGCTGCAAGGCGATGGTCACAATGGCCAAGCCAGCTCCTTGGGACCCGTGCGATGTGGACTGGAGGGCTTGTGAGGCTCCAGGGAGCCAAACTGGGATGATTTGGGAAGAAAGTGGAGAAGGACGGAAGGCATTTTTAAATTAAGCAATTCTTTGGGATGAGATTTCCCCAAAGAAAGCCATCCTGCCTCTAGGGCATGAGGCAGATGCTAAGTGTACAAAGTCTCAGATTCTGTTTTATCCTAAACCCACCCCATCCCACTTCCTTCCCTGAAATGTACATGGTAAGAATGTTTACTTATTGCATTTGCAGAATGCTCATTTCTTAGTTCTTGCTTTTATTTTTCTTTCTCTTTTTTCTTTGTTGCAGTACTGGGATTTGAACACAGGGTCTTGCTCTTGCTAAGAAATGGCTCTACCACTTGAGCCACACTCCCAGTCCTTTTTGCTTTAGTTATCTTTTGGATAGGTTCTTGTGTTTTTGCCTGGGCTGACCTTGGACTGTGATCCTCCTGCCTCTGCCTCCTGTGTATCTGGGACTGCAGCAGTGTACCACCATGCCCAGCTTAGTGAGTGAGTGATTGAGATGGGGTTTCACTAACTTTTTGCCTGGGCTAGGCTGGACCTGCAAATCTTCCAATCTCTGCTTCTTGAGTAGGTGGAATCACGGGTGTATGCCCCCGTGTCCGGCCAGTTTTCACTTTTTAAAATGACGGCAATATCTTGTATTTCTTAGTCTCCAAAACCCCTAAATAAAGTACTCTAAATTGAGTTACTTTTACCTGTGTGGGTCTTATGCTATCTGGTGATTAGGACTGACACTGGCCTTCTCTGGAGAAAGGTCACCAGCCCTCTGTCTGTATGGTTGCTCACAAACTTCTTCAAGTACTCCATGTGTAGTAAGTTCTCCTTCCGTTACTGAAAAGAGACATAATGGTGTGATATTCTATGTGCGGTTTTATATATGTAACATATTATGGTATCATTTCAAATAAAATGAACTCCACCATTTCTACATATTGATATTCCTCAGTGATGTCAGAGACTCCAGCATTAGACACACACAGGTTCCTTCCATTGTCAGCAGAGAAAGAGTTCTGTTTACAAGTTTTTGATAGTGCTTTGGAATCCTGCATTCAGAATTTGCAGTTTTGTGTTTACTTTTGATTTAGTTTGTGAACCTGATTTTGAACTGATAAACTTAAGGAATGTTATGATAGAGTTTATTATTTTTAGAACAAAGTAGTCCATTTAAAAATGACTGTTTCTGTAGCACTCAGCCCATGGGACTGACAGAGAAAATGGGGAAGTCATCTCAAAAATCAAAGAAAGGAAACAATCTGTTGCAAGTTTTGGATATTTGGAAGTGCTGACACAGAACAGTCTTTTAGTTCTAGAGCTTTTGGAAAGTATCATTTTAAGTAGGAAAGCAAATAATTTGATTTTTATTCGAGGGATGTTCTGTTTTAAATGTGAAATTTTGTTTTGTTTTTCATAAATACAAAGAACACATAGAGACACTTGAGATTTTTGGTAATTATTTATCAAATAAAACTGCTTCCTTGTGTTTTACACAGCTGGTCACTAGATGTCGCTCCACGTCCACCCATCAATAAGTGTACTCAGTGCATGCAGATGAAACAGCTCGGCCATGAACTGCTGCTTGGGCAGCTCAAGTTCCCCTTGCTCGGGGCACCAGTTTCAAGACTCTTGGGCTGCACGGAGGCACGCGGCAAAGCTGGTAATGTTAAGTTGTTGGAAAAAGAAACAGAGGAGCTTTGTCCTTTCTTGGGGGCTCACGATGTATTCTTCCCTACATGGAAGTGCTGGAGAAATTTTATCATCAGCAAAATTTTAAATTAGCTAGGCACAGATTTCAGATTTGCACGAATACTAGAACCCAGTATGGGTTGTTTGGGCTGATGATGCTTGCTTATCTGTGATTATGTAGAATAGATGAAACCCACTGTGCTATGCCACTTGGTGGTCATACTTTGCACCACCTGAGTACCTGAAAAGTTATAACTAGACATCTCTTTAACAGATGGTGTTGGGAAAACTGGTGTCTATACGTAGAAGACTGAAACTTGATCCTTATCTTCCACCCTCTACAAAAATCAACTCAAAATAGACCAAAGATCTCAACATAAGACATGGAACTTTGAAATTACTGGAGAAACCTGGGGGAAACACTTCAGAATATAGGAATAGGAATGAATTTCTGTGTTCAATTCTGTATGAATTCTGTAAAAATTGATGAATGGGATTGCATTAAATTAAAAATCTTCCACACAGCAAAGGAAATAGCAGAGGAAGTGGCAACCTGGAAAATGGGAGAAAATCCCTGCCAGCTATTCATCTGATGGGAGATTACTATCCAGAATATATAAAGCACTCAAAGAAACCAC